TTCTGTTTGCAGAGACATATCAAGGAGTTTATTCCTATAAAATAATCCTATATAATAAAAGGCTAATATGCAAATAGATCAAACAGTCAAATGATCAGTCGTTGTGATGAGCACTGACCACCAGGTGGCAGACACTCAATGCAGAAGCTGCCCCCTGGTGGTCTGTGCACTCCCACAGCAGGAACACCACTCAGCCAGAAGCCCTAAGCAGGTTTCATGGCTGGTGAACACAGTGGCAGTGACAGGAACCTTTCCCACCTTCAAGGCAGTGCTAAGGATGTCTGTTAGTCAGACATCTCCAGGGGGCTCCTGGACTGCAAGAGGGTGCAGGCCAGGATGAGGAACCCCACCCCCAATCCCAAGTGCATGAATTTCATGCACTAAGCCTCTAGTTATAGTATATTTTTATTGTATTCTGCTGTAGCAACCTATAGAGAAACCATTTGATTTTTGCTAAATTGAGATTTAAGTAGAGGCTTCTTTAGAAGAAATCTTGTAACATGCAGCTTTCCTGTTGACTTTTTACCTAACTTCTGATTAGGCAGGTTGGTGAACCTGTGTGATATTAAGAGAAAGTAAAATTCTATGACCTAAAATCATTTGGCTTCAGCTATTTTCCTTTAGGAATACGGAAAATGTATCAGCGTCATAATTTTAAATTATGTGTGCAACTATGGCTGCATCCATTTACATTCTCTAAATTAGAAGAAATTTTAGGGACAGATCTAGAAGTAAATGTATTTTTCTAGAGGAGTAAAAATGTTTGTGAGCAGCAGAACAGTACTCTGACAGCTTGAAAGTGTGACTCTGGCAATACAAAGACATTTCTGATTGGTCTGGGTCAGGGAAAATTCAAGACGAAGAAAATCTGCCCTTTAGTCTCCAGTTTATAGTTGGAACAAAAAAAGACAGGCAGCAAATCTCTCCAGAAATAAAAGTTGAAGATGTAGGACACCTTGATCAGGGTGTGTGCTTCTGCTAATGTGATGACTAAAACCAACTTTCAATTGCCTCCAATATATAGAGAGAGCCATTAGATGGAAATATGTACTAGGGCCCTAAGACTGGACTCCAGATGGAGGTGCTACATCCAGGAAATGTATGAAGACAACATGGCATCTCTTTGAGAACAGGGACTATGGAAACGCAGGGAAGCTCGTACATTGCCTGGAACATAGTTGGTTTTCAAAACCGCCAGACACATTTCAGTAGGTTCTTTTAAATATACTTTAGCTCATACGCATTTACAGGATGATCTATCCAAAGCCCACCTCCTGCTTTTTTACTTCTTTGCATAAATGAATGAATGATTTTTCCTTGAGAGAGGGGCTGTACCTAGGGAGGCATTTGATTGGATGAAGTACGTGATGAAAGATGGTAGGAAAGCTGAATTGCCCCCATAAGGCTGGAAGGAGGCATAGGTAGAGTTAGCAAGAATATGTGCTCATGACCTCCTCCTTATCTGTCCTTGAAACCATTATTGCATTAAATATCACTCTCTGTGATATATATTGATCCCTCTGTCCTTCATCCTAGTATTTAAATATGAAGAATTCATTTTTAACTTTATACTACCTCTCAAGTCAAACAAACAAACAAACCTTTCCTAAAGGTCAATATATAAAGAGAAGTGTCTGTTTTTTTATTGTTGTTAAATATTAAGTGTGACTAGAACTTGATAATAAGCTTTGAGAAGAAAATCAAAAGAGAAGGAGAAAATGTAGGGCTAAAAAAGAGAGTTACTGTTAGAATGAGGTGAGACTAGTCAGGGATAAGGCACAGCTAAGAATATAAGTGTAAATTTAGAAATAAATAGGAAACAAGAAGAGGCCAAGAGACAGAGATGCGCAGAGGAGAGCAGTGCACATTTGTTTGGGAGAATAGGAGTTAGTCAAACTGCTCTATGCATAGAGGATCCATTACTTATGATCTATCATCTGGTAATAACACAGATGATGGATTAGGTAGCCATGGTATTTCTGAGTTCATTCTTCTCCCACATTCTCTGCCTTGTGTGCACTGCCAACCGTATCCTTTTGGCTTCCAAGCCTTCAGCCAGAGGAGATCAGAAGGCATGTAGAAAAGAAATCAGGATATGAATTTCCCTACCCTTCCCTTGGCTGTGATCTCTTTATGACTGCAGTGTCTGCAGCTTCTTCCTGCTGGGGGTTCCTGGCCCCCTCCATATATTCTGCTCTCCCTGGTTCTGATGGCACTGTCTTTTCCCACTGGCTCGTTCTGGATGAGAGTTACTTCCTGCTATCGCTAGCCTGCTAATGTCTCAATTCCTTTCCTTGGTCCTCTTAGTCCTGCTCACTAACAGATCTTTAACATATGCCTCTACTAAAATCTTTTGAACCATTGGAGTTGGGTCCAGTTTCCAGCTGAATACCTGACTAACACAGATTAAAAAAAGAATGTTTAAAGTAGAGAAACATAACAGTAAATAATTTAAAACTATATTGAGAGCTATGAAGAATAAATACAACTACTTAGAGAGAAAAATGGGTGTGAGTTAGACAGTTGTCAATGGTGTCTTTAGAAGGTGACATTTAAGTTGAGGCCAGAAGATAGCAGTCAGCATGGAAAGGACAGGGAAGACCCTTCATGCGGGAACGGCCACTGCAAAAGCCTTGGGAGAAGAGAGCTTGATATGCTCTATGCCATTATTTGGTTATGAAATTCTAGTTGAAACACTTCATGTGTAAAAGCAAAGGGGGAATCAGTCTGAGTTCTCATTGATATTTAATGACAAATAATAAAGTTTTTGGACAAAGGCCACCAAAGTATCGTATGCTTGTTAAAGTGGGAAGCAGCTAAGGTGAGCTGTGAAGACTAAGCAGATACCCAGGTATTCATTTGAAATTGCTGTGATCATGTTGGGATGGACAGATGATCTCCACATGATAATAGGCTGTACAGAAGTTAACATACGTAAGGAAGTTATTTCTTTGACCTTGTTTACTTTCATCAGAATTGCAGGTTAGTCTTTAGGTAGAGGTATAGTTTCTTATAACATTTTTTAAAAGTAATAATTGTGACACTTCACAGAAAGGATATCAAATGAACAACAGTGACCTTGATGGGCTGTGTGTCTTCTTTACCCTCCCCTTTTTTATTAAATCATCATCTAAGATATGCTTTTTATTGATTTTTAGAGATAGAGGAAGGGAAGGAGGAAGAAGGAGAGAGAGGGAGAGAGAGAGAGATATTGATCGATTGCCTCCCATATGCACCCGACCCTAAGTATATGCCTTGACTGGGAATCGAACCTGAAACCTTTTGGTGTATGGGATGACACTTCAGTCAAATGAGCCACCTGGCCAGGCCTACCTTCCCTTTTATTTGTTTATTTGGGGTGGTTTGGGGAGAAGTAGCAAAGAAGGAGTGGAGAAGTTGAAGAAAATAAAGTATTAAAATAACATAATTGTTGAATCCTACCTAGAATGAAGGGAACTTTAATGATCCATTTTAGCGTATTTCAATACTTCCCAAAGCAGACACATCTAGCTTATTAAATAAGCCTGCCTGGGGAAATTTCCCATGTTTTCCCCCCTCTATAAATCCAGTTCTCTAATGTGTTTTACAATATGACCTCCCTTTGTTTGTGGCTTTAGTGCAAATACTAAGCATTTAAGAATTATTTAATTGCAGGATATACTAAACCTTTGGCATCAAACCAAAATAAATTATTTTTGTATTTGTGAGAATTAAGCTGCTAACGCTGGACATTTTCAAGCATACGCTGACGTGACAATATGAGCAAATGGTGAAAAACACACACACCACGGCCTTTAAGGCGCTACTTAACCATGTGCATTTAAATATCATATCTTTGTGTTTAGAAGACTTCCTCAGATATCTGCCCAAATATCTTCTTGATGAATTTTTAGTTCTTGAAATATATTTCTATTTATGGGCATCTTTTACTTAAAAGGATGACCACACAACGATTTATTTTGTTTTCAGTTTACTGTGATGCTGTTTCTACTCAGAATTAAGTAAATTTCACAGATGTTATTTTAATCTGCCTTGATATTAAAAAACATAGTGTTTACTACGTTCATGCCCTACATGTCCTTTTCCTAGCTACATTTCTCATACTTAGTAATATTTTCCTCACTTACAGACAAAACCCACTTTAAGCACATTTATATAACATGTTTTATCTCCATGTACTTTGTAGTCACACTGTAAAGAGTAGCTCACCACAAGTAAAGTTAAATGATTAGCAACTCTGATAGAGATGCAATTATGCAAATTATAATTATAAAGTTAGAAAAAACCCTGAGGGCTTATCACCCATAAAAAAAAAAAAAGCAAACAACAACACTCTGTTAAAAATAAATCATAATACTCTAATCAAATACAATCAAAATTCCACTCTTGCCTCTATACCCAATACTCATATTGTAAACATCATTGACAAGTAATTATATATCATGGGATTTAAACTCTCCGAAATAGAAACCTTAAGTATAGCAGGCATTAAAGTGTGATATGAATCATCTCTCTGATTTGGGGAATCATTACATGTTGTGCATATTGACAGCTGGTGCGATCACATTATCATTATTTCAGGAGATGCAGAAGTAAGCAGTTGATTCACTGTAATTATTGTCTTTGTGATTTTTATATTCATGGCTTAGTATATCTTATCAAAATTGGGGATGAACAGATAGCAACTTATTCTTTTATCTTTTTTATTTACATCATTGCTGAATAAAATTTCAGAAAAAAATACTGAAATTTTAAGACACATTGGCAGAGATGAAAAGCTCCTTTAAAAAAAAATTAAAGAAATGTTCTCTATGTTAAAATAGCAAAAATGTATACATTGAGGTTCATGGAAATGACTAGAAAGATAATTATAATTGGTTACTTCTTCCCACCAAGGAGCTTCTGGGAAAGCGAAACCTAGCAAAATAAGGGATTCAAAAGTACGATATGTCATGTTCTAATAAACAATCGTGTCTAATTATGGAAGAATATGGACTTACTTGCCGAGGGCAAAGCACTCCAGCTTAACAGTGGTTCCCTTAGCAGCTGTAACAGTTAAAGGAAAATGGACCTCAATTTTCGGCTCGTATTCTCCCATCACACCTGGAAAAGAAAGCATAGTCTTAGAGCATAAAATGAATGTCACGATTTCTTTTCGATCTTGGGGATGGTTACGTTGTACAGCACTGTGGTTTGGTTTTTAACGTCTGTTCGATGACTGCTACATTTTTGAAGCATGAAAAATAAGAAAAATACACTTAAATTCAGTCATTATGATGTCTGGCTTCCCTTAAGGATTGGGTTGCATGTATGTTCAGTACTTTTTAAAACAGTAATTATTTAAGTGTAAATTAAGATTAATAGTTTAGGTACTAATTGCAATTCAAAGGAAATAGATAACTACAAACAAGCATTTCTTATGATAAATAATTGCTGATTTAAAAAAAATGAGTAAAGGTACCAGAACTTTATAATTGCCAAATCAGTGAACACTTATTTATTAGCTAATATATATTTATTGAATATCTATAATATGCAAGCATTTTGCTAGGCATTGTGGGCATTATAGAGATAAATCACCCATGGACTGTGCTCTCAAGCATTCACCAAATATGTTCTTAAAGAAAGAAACCACATACAAAGTACACTCAAGTATGGGAAAAGAGCTATCTATCAAAACAAGTGTCATGCAACATCGAAAGGGATGAGTGCTGTGAATGAGGTATCCTTACAGTTTTATGTGCATTTGAGGGGATTATAAGAATGGCTGGGATCCGTGTGAGTGGGGAAAAGAGAGAAGAGAAATTAAATGAAACTGTAAGAAGAAAAAGGTAAAGAAAACCACTAGAAATAGAAAAACTAAATTTTTTCTAAAATATTGTTACATGGTAGAATCTGGATTTAACACAGATGCTTCACTGGGGAGCTAGTATGTGTGCTTATGGGTGTCTGTGTTTATGGGCATATTTGCACACATAGGTGTGGGTGCATGTACAGCAGTGTGTGTAATTTCCTGTGTGTGTGGAGGGGGGGGCGTGAGAGAGGTGAGGAGAGGAAGAGACTGGGACAGAGTAAAATAAAATGCTATAAGATATACAGGCAAGATGCACTGGACGTGCAAAGGGAGAAAAAGTTACCTTTGACAAAGAAAATATTCATGTGTTAATTACTTCTTTATTATTGATTTGAGATGCATCCTGAAGGAAGACTTGGACAACTTTATTTTATTTATTTATTTATTTTTTGCATGTGTGGACAGCATTAGGTGGAGAAAGACACAAGAGATTATCTTTGCTAGATTTTTGTAAAGCAATCATAAAGAAAAAAATATCAGTGATATTTTTATGAAAGAGACTGGGCTTCCAGACTTGGTTCACTTTTTTAAACTCTAATTAATATAATGTCCTGTCCTGTTCTAACAGGCTAACTCCCTTGCTTTTTCCCTAGTCTTATGTTCACTGCACAGCAAGAGCCTGGTATACAGCAGGTGAGCTCAGTGATTAGCACTGTTCCATCACTCAAAACAGATGGTGAAGCACCTCTTCTCTCTCTCTCTCTCTTTCTCTCTCTCTCTCATGCTCCCCCCCCCTTTTTTTTAAAAATATATTTTATTGATTTTTTTACAGAGAGGAAGACAGAGTAATAGTTAGAAACATCAATGAGAGAGAAACATCGATCAGCTGCCTCCTGCACATCCCCCACTGGGGATGTGTCCTTAACCAAGGTACATGCCCTTGACCAGAATGGAACCTGGGATCTTTCAGTCCGCAGACGGACGCTCTATCCACTGAGCCAAACTAGTTCACCCACATTTTTTAACTTCCTTTCTTTTATTTCCTCATGCCTTCCCCCCCACCCCCCCACTATGACTCCCTAAATATCAGGATTTGGCGTGCTTAGTGATACCCGACTGAGTGCACAGAATATTGAGAAGTTTATCTTTATTGCCCTCTTACTGGTAAGCCCTCATACTTGTAAGCCCTACCTCTGATGGCCACCTGAAGGAGGCCCTAATGTCAGCTTCCGAGCTCTCCATTCTCTCCCAAAATTGATTCTGTAGTGTTCTTGTTCCTTGTCCACTTGTTAAGCTGATGATTAATAGGACATGATACATATTAAGCTTATTAAATCCAATGCTATTTGCATGAGTTCCTATGAGTGCTGGACGTCCCTGAGAGCTGTAGAGTGCTGTAGAAGGACAGTGAACATCAGGATGAATTTAGAAGACGATTCTTTATAATTATTTCTAGTAAGTGTCTAAAGAGGTCTTAAGAGAAAGAGACCTGAATTTCCAAAACTCCAGTAATTTTTTTTTCTATCCTAAGTATAAATTCCCTTTAGAACTGACTTTTATATTAGTACATTAAAAAAAAAAAAAACCCTTTTCCTAAAGCAGGTCCCAGAATTGTACAACATGTCAGGCCCTTCAAAACCTCGATCCAACTCTGAAAAATCCCAAGATACTACTGATATTTTTGGCTAATAGGAGCCAGACCCAAATATTCTATATTATCTAGAAGAGAAGAGAGAGATCTCTTCTCTTCTAGATAATATTTGTGATTGCAAAGGTGATCTTTTATTGCTTTAATCCTTAAAAATGACTCAAAGAATGGGCACTCCTGGAGGTATTTGAGAAGTACTTTTATCCAAGTTGGGCTTTCTCATGCTCCTTAAGTGATCCCATATGACCAAAAAGATGGTTAGGCCTCACTTTAGGGCCCAAGAGGTTTGCTAATATCTAAACTAGATATCAAAAATAAAGTTAAAAGGTTTGAATAAAAGGCTTCCAATTACATTACCTAATCTGAGCTGTACTGTAAGAAATAGCTGGATCTTTTAAATTTTACTCTGATAGTGCTAAAAGGACAGATGAGAAAGCTCTTTAAGTATGTTATGCTCTTTAACAATTGATTACATTCCAGAATTAAATTTTGCTTTATGCTTCATGGGATAATTGTGTTATGACTAAAGGTTTTTCTCAGTTTTTTAATTTACCCTCTTTCTTTTAAAGATGAGAGAGGTAAGAGTCAAAGGGATCAAGCACTAGTAAGTGGCACAAGGTTCTAAAGAAAGCTGTTGGTGGAAACAGAGCAAAAATGGGAATTTTCTGAACTTAAGTCTTCAAATGTTTTCTTGATATCACTCTGTTGGGGAACATCAATCACAGAGTATAACAGTCCAGGCATATCACATGTACTACATCAATCACTGATTGTCTCTGCCTTCACTGCTTGTTTCATTTCAGTTTCTATTTTCAACATCTCAAGTCATATGCAGCCAGCTGTAATGTCTCTTGTTGGGTAGGGTTTGATGAGGACAGGTAAGAAAATCTTATACAATATAGATTCAAAGATCACATTACTAAGATTATCTCTTCAGTCAATGTATTATTGACTTTTTGATAGTCCCTTATATTAAGCTAAATATGCTGAAGATACACTAAGTTGTGTTCTCATCTTTTCCTCATACATGTCCCTTTTGGCTTAGTTGACTGCCCTACTTTGGAATTACATGCCATTGGAAGATGGCCCCAAATTACCCTAATCCCTAATAAACAGAAGCCTTCCAGCTGAGAGTTCATTACCATCCTTCTATGTCTTCATGGTTGTTGACTTTCTTATTTATTCCAATTACTTACAAATAGCTCGGATGCTTTTCCGTAAGTGGAATGCAATTTAGAGCAGTGTTTCTCCAAGTGTGTTGCAGAACAGAGAGCCAATGACATCAGAAAAGTCTGGAAGCCTTACTAAAATTCTAGGTTTTAGGGTTCAATTCTGAATTTATTGATAAATAATCTTTGAAGATAGGGCTACAGACTCTACATTTCAATCGTTTCTCTAGATAATTTTATGTACATTGAAGAAATTCAGTGTTGGATGAACATTGACTCTTATTTTTATCATGTTACCTGTCGTCTTTAGGGCTTGAGTACTAAATAAAACACCTGGGGAATAAAGAACATGCAGAGAGTCTATAATCATATTTCATCCACTGGTGGCTTGTCTTAACAGGCAAATTATATTCAACTTGCATGTCCTGGCACTCATGCCAGAGCTGAGAATTTTTTTCTGATTGTTTGAAGATCAGTTCTAATCAATCAGTCAGTGTCCATCGGTTAGCACTTAAGTATTTCTAATTATATTTCTGCCTGATACTCATAGTAATATTCATTTCCAGGGCCAAGAATTGATGTCTAATAGAACTTAAACATTTGATTTAGCTCACGAGTTAAAAAGGTTTGGTTGATCTTATGTCCAAATAATTGATTTTTACATTTTTGTTTTCAACATCTTTACCAATGGTATTCAACATGTTTCTTGTCTTCCAAGAATAGAATGATATTTTCAGTGTTTCTATGGAAAATATTTCTTCTATCTTTTCTAACCATGTGACTTGAATAGAAGCCATTATCTTCCTATAAATTCTGCCTTCTTGGGTGCAGTTATTCACCTATTATGGGTATCAGCTCACACTTGGCTAGATTAAACCCTTGTCCTGAACATAATGTTTAATTCATGGATGGACAACTTAAGCTGGGATTATCATTATTGTTATTATTATTTTATTTTACTTTATTTTTCTTAATCCTCATCTGAGGATATTTTTTCCATTGACTTTTAGAGAGAGTGGAAGGAATGAAGGGAGGGAAGAAGGGGGAAGAGAGAGAAAGAAAAAGAGAGAGAAAGAAAGAGAAAGAGAGGGATGCCACTGTAAGAGACACATGGATTGATTGGCTCCCATACATTCCCCAACTTGGGCAGGGATCAAACCTGCAACCCAGGTATGTGCCCTTGAACTGGAATCAAACCCACAACCCCTAAGTGCATAGGCTGATCTCTAGCCACTGAGAAACACCAGTCAGGGAAAGGCTGAGATTTTTGAACAGGAGACCAGGGATTCCAAGTTCAGTTCCTCCTTAGTGGCAAAAAAAAAAAAAAAAAGAAAGAAAGAAAGAAAGAAAGGAAAAAAGAGCCTGCATATCTGAGAATCACTGAACTTCCATAAGTGTAAAGAGTTAATCTGCCATTGAAGAGAATTAAGCCAATTTAGATAGAATTAAGCCAATGCAGATATAGGAGAGATAAAAAAGAGAATAGTGGCAG